CTTTAGTAGGGTAATTTGTTAGCAAAAATGAAGTCACACACATACAAAACGTTGTTTAAAGTAAGAGGTGTCACTGGCCAAGAACCAGTCACTGGGACATGTCTGAATGAGTCTTTTGGAGCCACATGTAGCAGAATTTGGTCAGGAGGAGGATTCAATCAGCCCAGTCAGGAACTAAACCCTATCTCCAGCAAGTATCTGGATCAAGGAGAGGCAAATAGGCTGCAGACTCTGGCACAGCAGAGAGACTGGAGTGGAAAAGCATGGAGGGCTCATTCCCAAGAGGAGTCAGTTCTCCCCAGCCCTGTAAATGTTTACTGGACAAGAGGGAGAATATCCAGTGACTTGGTAGAGCAAAACCCCAGGAGGGATGGAGCCCTTGAGAATTCCAAGATGAATGCTAAGATAACTCCAAGAGGCTCTCAGACAAATCAGCTGCCTGTCCATGTTTGGCTCAGCCCCAGGAAGGCAGAAGGGATGATCCAAGAGGTACTAACTGGTTTCTGTGCTCCCCAAAGCAATTGGTTTCAAGGACCTGTCCACGACAGGAGGTTTGGATGGGACAGTCCCTGCTGATGGACTTGCAGGGTGAACTGGAGAGACTGGAACCTTTGGGATGATATCAGTTGGGGGCTTTTCCACGCCAGGGATGAGGGGTCCATCCAGAGACTGAGGACTTGGCTCTGGCATTCCAAATTCCTGCACTATCCTTTGGTGTTCCTTCTCCTGCTCCTGTCGCCGGATCATCTCCTCGAAGGCATGAAACTGCTCCTGCTCTGCCTGCTGCTGCTTCATCAGGGCTACCCGAGTCTTCTCCTCTTCCAGCTGCTGCTGCAAAGCCAAATTGTGTGCAAATTAGTCTTCTTCCTCATTATGGAAGGAGAAATATGCCAAGGGACATGAGCAGGGAGGGGAACACTGGCCTGAGGCAGAACACAAAGCTTCAGGCCTCAGCAATCCCAGAGTGCTCATAAAGGGTCTGCACAAGGTCACCAGCAAACAGCTCTGCCTGCAAGGAAGCTTCAGCTTGCAGAGATCCACACTCCCATCAGGAGAGCCAACTGGACCAGGGCAGTAAACCCACTGCCTTACCCTCCCTCTTGCACAGAAACACAATTCCAGGTTGATTTCCCCCTATCCTGTCTCTAAGATCACACTCGTCTGCAGCAAAACTGATGGCAGAGGTTTCTGCTTTGCCCACAGCACCCCAGATCCTTGCTCATGCTGAGCTTCTGGATCATAACACCTAGGCCTCACGTTGGGACAAAGAGAATAAACCAACCAACCACTCAGCCCCAGCTCAGACTCCCTCAGGATGCACCAGGCAAAGAGACACAGAGACACCTAGGAGAGATTCACCTGTGCTGCAGGTGACCTGGACCCTGCCAGCTGGGACTACCCAGACTTGACATTTCCGAGCACCCAGGGAGCCCTGGAGACCTGCCCTCTTCCAAACCCTTTGTGGCTGAGGGTCTCCTGGGGAGCACAGGCCTCCAGTCTCCTCTCACTCACCTCCTGCTCCTTGTACTTAGCATAGTCCTTGGCGTACCTCTTTAACAGCTCCTCCTTGAGCTCTTCGGCTCTGGGGAATGCTACTTCCTTCAGTTTCTGGAGAGGGAAACACACACATCAGAGTGGGACAGCCCCAAGGCAAGAAAAACAAGACCTGAGCAGCTGCAAGATCCATGGCACCCATGGATTATAAAACACCTCTAAGGTCATTGAGTCCAACTGTTCCTGCATCACTGCCATGTTCACCACTAACCATGTGCCCAAGTGCCACCCACCACTGCCATGTTCACCACTAACCATGTGCCCAAGTGCCACATCTAAGGGTTTTTAAACACTTCTAGGGATGATGATCCAACCACTGCCCTGGGCAGCTGTGCCAGGGCTGCACAGCCCTTGTGGGGAAGAAATTTTCCCAATATCCAACCTGAATTTCCCCTTAGCACAACCTGAGGCTGTTTTGTCTTGTCCTGTCCCTTGTTCCCTGGGAGCAGAGTCTGACCCCACCTGGCTACACCTCCTGTCAGGAAGTTGTAGAGACTGAGGAGGTTTCCCCTGAGTCTCCTTTTTTCCAGGCTGAGCCCTCCCAGCTCCCTCAGCCTCTCCTGGTGCTGCAGCCTCTTCCCCAGCTCTGTTCCCTTCTCTGGACACCTCCAGCCCTCGATGTCTGCCTCGGAGCACAGGGCCCAAAACTGAACTCCCAAAGGTTCAGGACTGCCTGGCCAAGCCAAGGCTTCTCCATGTTAGTGTGGATCACTCATCCCAGAGCCAGGAACACCCAAGGCATTTCCAACTGCAGCCATTGAGGACTTACTCTGACTGTTTCCCTCTTTTCGGGGATGACGGCGGTTTTGTAATCGCGGTGCTGCGGCAGCTTCTCAATGAAGAGCCTGAGGACAGGGGAGAGAAACTGCAGCTCTGAATCACAGCAGAGAGGCACAGACACGACACACTAAGTGACATTTGGAGGGGACAGTGCCCTGGGTGCTGTGCTCCCTATCAGGACAGAAAACCCTCCAGCACACAACGGCCTTTGGAGCCCTTCACAGCACACAGGGGATCTCATCCTATCCCAAGGGAGCACCTCACACAGATTTTTCTTCCACCTGGACTTGGGAGATGATCCTCAGGGATCTGTTTTGAACAGAAGCATTAATAAGCTGGTCTAAACCACCAAGGACATGGCAGCAATTCAGGAAGGTGCTTGGGCACCTGCCTACACCTCTGAGCATCCAGGGATTACACCCAGGCTCAAGGACATGGCTGACTCAGTGCTCACATTGTCCTTCTGCACAGAGGAACAAGCAGTTTGTGCAGGAGATGGGAAATTAACTCAGACCTCGAAGAGAGAAAACTTGCAGGGAAGCTAAAAGCAGGTTCCCAACATCCCCAGCTGCTGCACCAGGAGCCTCTTGGCTCTGCCCATTCCAGGGCAGGGCAGTATTCCAGGCAGGAGAGCAATTTCTGTGCAGGCTTTGGGGAGGGAAATCAAGACTGAGCTCAACATCATCCCATTCCCAGCATGGCTATGGTTAATCTTCAGCTTCTTTACAAATGGGATAACTATTTCCCCCTTCACAGAATCCCAGATGGGTTCCTGGATGGCTCATCCCATCCACCCCCTGCCATGGGCAAGGACACCTTTTACCAGCCCAGGTTGCTCCAAGACTTATCCAACCTGGCCTGGAATGGCAGCCACAGTTTCTCTAGGAAAGCTGTGCCAGTGCCTTGTTTCCTTCAAGTGGAGCTGTGCAGCTCTGGGCACAACCCAAAATCCTTCCTGGCTCTTTGCTACACAGCTTCAGCATCCAAAGGATACTCCAGCTCCTTCAGAGAGCAGCCTCATGCTCAGCCACAAGGAATAAGGGAATAAGAGGACAAGCTAATGCCCCAGGGAACAACACAAACCAACCAAGCAGAGCCAAGCAGAAAAAACTCCAGGGGGGACAGTGAGACACTCTTCACACTGTGTGTGCAGTAAATAAACCCAGCTGCTCCAAAACCTCAGTCCTCTGGGAAAAGGAAGGGGGTTTTGCCACCCTGAACACTCCTGGTTGCTACTGAGAGCGTGAGGATGCAGGATCAGCATCATCATGGCCTGGAGCTGCTGCTCCATCCCCAGCACCCAGAGAGGTCCCTGCCCCTGCCTGGTGGCTCTGAAGTAGGTCACTGTGTCGAGGAGACACAACAAGGCCGTGAGCATTGCCAACAGCTCAGAGATTAAAATGGAAGGGATTAATTAAGGAGGATTAAGAGCAGATGCTGGCCTGGAGAGGACGGAAAAACCAGCGGGGACAGCTGGGTTTGCACAAGTCAGGAAGCAGGGAAAAAAAGTGGGCAGGAGGGTGAGAGGAGGGCTCAGGCAGCCAGAGGAAAGCTCTGGGCCAAGAGCAGGCAGTGGCAGGCTGGGATGGGGCAGAGGAAGGGCAGCAATAGCTCATGTGCCCCACTGACAGCTCCGCTGAGGCTTGGCAACACCAAAACCTGCAGTTCCCATCGCCAGGAGTTTTGGGCTCGTTCAGACCTCTGCCTGCTCCGAGTGCAGAGTGAGCAGCAGCTGTTTGGCAGGAGCAGCACAGCACAGGCTATTTTTAAGCACAGTCATGGCACACACGCCGAGGCAGTGTCTCTCAACAGCCCCTGGAGCTCGTGTGAGCAGCAGGAAAAACAAAGAGCCCAAACAACACAGCAAAGTCCTGTCCTGTTCTTTTTTCTTCCTTACTTGGCTCTACCAAAACCAACTCTAGTGTTCCTGATGGTGATTCAAGGAAAGCAATCACACAGAGCAATGCAGGAGAAGCTGCTCATGAAGACAAAGTAAGTTTTACCAGGTGATATGTGTTCAAAGTCCAGCCTGGTTATTCCAGGACACAGCTGTAGAATCATGGAATGGTCTAGGTTGGACCTTCCCATCTCTGATTCAAGCAATGAGACAGTGACATTAAATCCATATCTTTGGACAATCCAGAGCAGCAGCTCAGACTGATCAGCACAGAAATCCCACCCAGGAAAGGATTTGCACCCTCCTGGTAGCCAGGCTGAAAATACCAGGAGGGTCTGAAAGCTGCTGGAAAGAAACCACACCAGGATCTGTCCAGCTACAACCAAACAGCTTTCAGTTCATTTGTTTAGTTAAAATGTTTCTCCCTCAGCTCCAGCTGCGTAATCAGCCTGGAAACCTTCCCAAGGGTGTTACACTTCCCAGCTCCCTGTGCAGCCTCCCAGGGCCCTCGCTAGGATGCCCATAAAAGCTCAGGAAGTGCAAGGCGGGAAGACAAGCTAATCAGAGAAAAATGTGTTGGATTTAAGGGGCAGGAACTTTGCACAGGGGGCAGGGAGAGAAAATGCCCACAGAGATGCCAACCACATTCCAGCCAAGCAGGTAGTGTGGGCACAGCAGAGGCCACACCAGTGGCACTGGGTGATAAAGTGGGAGGGACAGGCTTTGGGCCAGAAATCTCCAGGAACAGGACACTGTAGTAACCTAGGAGTATGGCAGGTTTCTCCTCTGAAGGTGTTTTATTGGAGAAACAACCAACCAGCCTTGATCCTTCCCAGGCTGATACCTGATACTGAGATCCCTGACCACAGATAACAAGATCCCTGACCATGGATCCCTGCCAATCCATGTGATGTCATGGCAAACCTAGTGGAAAAATCGAGGCCAATTCACCAAAACACCTGGAAGCTTAGGCATACAGGTAGACAAAATCCCTCTCCTGCTGACAGGAGTCTCCATAGCAGAGGGACAGAGGAATCCAAGATCAGCCTGATTCCAAAGGGAACTTTTACAGACCTCCTGCAGAGTGGTTAGGGAAGTTTGGGGGTTTGTGTCTCACATCTTTACCACATCTCCTGGTCAGTCTCACCAGCTGTGGGACCTGAAATCCCACGGGAGCAGAGAGCTCTAGGCAGGACCCAGTTGTTTCAGGCTGTACCAGGATGTTCTGCCTGGAATGGGGTAAAACAACTGGAACAATGTTCTGTTTGTAAAGCCACCAGCAGTGAGTGAAGAAGGGGAGGTCGTGCTGCTTTTGGGGCTGAACGATGGTGAAACCAGTCTGACCCATCAACCCCAAAGTTAAACACCCTGAGAGTGAGGTGAGGCTGTGGCAGAGCTGGCAAAGGGCCCAATAAAGGAACAAACAAGGGATACACCAATAACTCACCTCAAGCTGCTGAGCTGACACAGCTGACCTGGGGACATCTGACTGACAGTCAATCAATAAAAACCCAGCCCCAAATTTTAATGCTAAGATCTTCTAACACATCCCTTCTTGGAGTCTGTGTGAAGATTCCTCCTTGGACTGGGGATCCCCCTCAAGGATATCTAACCTAAACTTTCCCTCCTTCAATTTGAAACCATTACCCCTTGTCCTAAACACAAACCATCCCCTAGACACAAACCACTGCCAAAGTCTGGGGCTGGGATTGGATCCAACCTCCCCCAGGCTCCTCTCTGGGAAGGAACTTGAAAAGCTTTTCTGCACCTCAGGACTCAACAGGAGCTTCTCCAACACACTTCATCCAAAGCTCCCACTCTGCCCATGACAAAGGCCTCACAGCATTCAGACAAACCTCCCCCACCAGGGCCAGCTCTTACGTGATGTACTTGTTGTAGAGGATGAAGGCATGTTCAATGTTCCCCTCCTCCGAGTACACCGTGGCCATGCGCAGGATCTCCACGCCGGAGCGGTAGTAGCGCCGTGGGGGGATGTCCTCATTCACTTCCACGGTGCTTCCCACCTGGATCAGCCTCCGGACGCGCTCCTCCGGCGGGAGGCTGGTGCTGGCATGGTCAGGCATGGCCACACACATCAACGCTGTGGGGAGGGAAGGATGTCAAGGGCATCAAAACCGGTGTGGAACAGGCAGTGAGGGAGCAGGGAATATCCTCAGTGGGAAGGGATGCACAGGAGCATTGAACTCATCCCAAAATCCCACCACACGCCTGAGGGTGTTGTCCAAACACTTGAGCTCTGTCAGGCTTGGGGCTGTGAGCACTGCCCTAGGGAGCTGCTTGAGAGGTCAGGGCCAAAGGATCCTCCCGGATCCATCCTTACCCAGCAGGCTCCATCCCACGTGGCTCTTGCCTGGGCACAGCCACATCCCTGTCTGCCCTGTGCTCTGGAGACACTCCCATCACAGCCCAGGAATGCACCACGACCTGATCCTGTGGCTGCTTCCAACAAACCTTCCTCAGAACAGCCCCATGGCTCCAGCTGATGGATTCCAAGGGGAGGAAGCACCAGGACTAAAGGGCAGTGAGCACAGAAACCCTCTACAACTCTCCTCCTTCTTCACTTAAGGCAGTTTTCCCTGGGAAAGCGACTCTGGAGCAGTGTAAGGGTTAAACTCCCTGTGAAATCACAGCTCAGTGATTCCAGAGCACCTCAGGAACACGAGTGTCATATGCAGCGAGCCAGGATTTACTGTGGCTCCTTCCCAAACTAGGGAATGGGCCCAAACTGAGCCTGAGGATCCTGGTGGACGTATGCAGCGAGCCAGGATTTACTGTGGTTCCTTCCCAAACTAGGGAATGGGCGCAAACTGAGCCTGAGGATCCTGGTGGAGGAGGTGTGACCCCCCTGGAGCAGAAGTCCCTTTGGAGGCAGACAGATCCATGTTCCTCATCCCTGGAGGAGCCTCCACAAGCCTCTTGCCCTGTGGAATTTGGTCCTGCCAAGGCCTTTATGGGGTGTGACAGCCACAGCTCAGGGGGAGCTTCAGCCTCTCCCCCTTCCGTGGTGCTTCTTCGGGGGGTGTGGGTCCAGCTGCTCCTCCAGGGAGAGCTTTGAGTTTCCTCCCCAAAATAATCCGAAGTTCCACAGTCCTTTTCCCCATGGGAGAGCAAACCCCACTCACACCCCCCAGCAGAGACTCTGCTCTAACTACCAGAGCTCTCGTAGCTTCTGGTCCCCAAACTACAGACCCTTCCCAGCCCCCCAAAGAGAGTAAACAA